ATACCAATGGAGAATGTTTACCCGTTTTAGGGTTTACATAATCATATAGATCTTGCACAACCTGTGAAAAAGAAGACTTAGTCTCTTTATGTAAATTGGAGATGGCTAAACGTGCAGCGAGTGTAGCGTAGTCATGATGGCGGGTTGTCATGCTGGCGCATACTTCGGCCGCTAGATTATCCAACTCGACAGTTGTAACCCCAGCGTAGAGGCCAGTAACAACTCTGGCGGTGATTGACTCCTATATGGAAATAAAGTAAAAGGCATTATCCGAAAAAATCCGAAGTCATGGTAAATTAGAACCAGGATTATAAATACGAGTTAAAGACCATTGCATATTAATTTGAAGAATATTAATGTTGGTGAGAATAATAATAGCAAAAATACCGGGTCAATAAATTGCCTGTCAAGGCCATCGCACAGATTAAGTATGCGTTTGGTTATTTTGTGGCACTGAACTGACTCACGTCTTGCGTCTAAAAGATTATAAGAAAATAAAGACTTACCTCGTTTGATAACGTAGAGAGACCGATCTGACTCCGCCATCTCATAGGTCAAGTGAGCCTTGGAGAGCATGCTAAAGAAAACACGGTTATACAATTTTAAAAATTTGATAAGGTGGGCTCCGCAAGGCTAAACATTGGCAGTCGAAGCTAACAAAGAGTACATTTTGTATTCATGTATTATTATATATTTTTGTTATTCATCAGTAATATTTATTTATTTTTTGATTAAGATATAGCGATTACATTCAAAACTCTTTATTTTATTTTATTTTTAATCCTGTCTCATGCAGTTTATTCAAACCATTTAAACATTATATTGCTGATATCTCTAGTTTGCCTATTTATTAGGTAATGCTTTTTTGCTTCTGGATATTTCACCAAAAAATTTTATTATCATAGAGACCAAAATAATTGCTTATCGCCGTCTTCTTAAGATAAATCCCGTTGTGCTGCAGCCGTTTGGCTTTTATCCGACGTTCAGGTTGACGCAGTCCACGAGACCTCCTACCTCGTTTAAGGTGAAAACGGGCTGAATTTTCGTTTATCATATGATGGCCATCATTAGAGCTCGGTCTCATTCCTATAAAAGTCTCACGTTAACACTAGGGCAAGAAGACTACCCGGCTCTATCTTGCCTCTTATATAGACTCAATTAAGCAAACGAAAAAAACCTAGATAGATATTGAGTGGTTTGGCTAATTTTTCTTTCATACTACTACTGCTACTTTTGTTTGCGAGTGCCAAAACATGATTCTGCATTAGGCGATTGTAACCTAGTTTTTCTATGATGAAGCAGCTGCCACCGAACACATTTCCGCATCGGGTTGTCAACTGCACTCATTTTCAATCATGTAAAGTAAGGTTGAAGTGGGCAACTAAATCAGGGAATGCCTTATTAAGATAGCAATGTTAGGGGTATAAAAATAGCGACTATGGTTGTAGCCGGCAACCTTCTTTTCTTGGTTTAGTATATTTTTACTCTATTTCATAAAGTATCGAATCTTGCTCGGATGATGTCTGTCATGGTACAGACGAAAGCTCAGCACAGTTTCATCGAGGTCGCAGGACCATGAGCCAAGGACTTCTTTCCACAATACATCAGTCTTCCTTACGCGACAATCCTCCTTCGATTTCCGGTGAGACCACATAACGAATTCATTCCAGCCAACTCTCCTTTCGAAATGGAGAGTCAGGTCATGATTGAGTACATTGCCTACTTTGTTGATTCAGACTACCTTAAATTTCGAGCTTAGTTGCAAATCAGCCATGAGTTACTTATGAGACAACTCTATTGCTGATACAGTCAACTCCACTGAGCGAAATTTAAGCGAAATGTCTTGATACTTTTGCTCGAGTGTGTGTGTGTGTGGTATGTCACAATTTAGAGAAAATATGACCTATTATGGAAATCTAGCTGCTACAAGATTGTGTGCTCATGTGGTCGAGGTTACGTTGGTGAGACATGCCGATCTGTTTGCCAATTATTTGGAGAATACAATAATGCTTATAAAGGAAGCTGGGTCCAACTAGTAGGCTTGCTGATTATGATACATCGGCAGCTAAACGAAAGATAAGAGAGCCTATTGAAATTAATAGCTTAGGAAATACGTTGAATGTGAGGAACGGTGGTCGACTATTGAGTAGGAACTACTTATGCTTGATTGATAGA